AGCTATCAGCTTTCAGCTACAATTTCACAGCTTTCAGCTAGCTTGATAACTTTCAGTTATAATCTCGCAGCTTTCAGCTAGTTTTGCCAAACAGAGCCTTAATTCATGAGAAAGAGAGGCGTTGATCTTGTAATCTCATCTTTGGAAAAATGACATTTCAAAACTATTGCTAAGTGCTACTATATGAGGTAGTTTGGGCTTCTTTTTTTTTCTTTTTTTTTTTGGTGGGGGGTTGGGTTATCTTAGAAATTACGCTATCCACCTATACAACATACACAGAGACATCGAACACGTGAGCACAAGCAAAACTATTCAATAATTGTTATCATATAGGTTATGGATTTCTGGTTATTTTGATGATTTTAAGGACTTGTAATTGAAACTGATCAGTATATACATACAAACTATAGTTAACCCCTAAAGTTTTTTTAGCACATGATATAAGATTTCTAATCTCATCATCTCGTGGAGAATTTTAAATAATCCTTATGCTAGATTTGGCTATGGTTTAAGTTGTATAACTAGGTGAGCTGTTTAATATGGCGTGCAATAGAGGGTGACAAACGGGTTCCAATCCGCAAGGTCAACTTAAACCCGACCCGCTAATTCCACTTATGACTTGTAGTATAAGCCTAAACGGGCATTAGTTGAAACTAAGTGAACCTGCAGAGCCCGATTAATGACCAGGTGTGGATAGCGTAAGCTATATTCTCTTTCGTTTATTAATTTGCAAAATATGACTAAAGTATCTCTTAATGTAACCACGATCGGTCTCTTCCTCTCGGGTTGGGGGTGAGCAAACAATCGGTTTTGGTCAGTTTTAACTATTTTTTGTCAAACCGAACCTAACCGAGCTAGATTCGAAAGCGAACCAAACCGGGTCAAATCAGTTCTGTTCGATTTGTTCAATTTAGCCTTAATTAGACACGTGAAGTTAGAGAATTTTTAGCTAAAAGACAAGACTATTACTCCTTCGAATTTTTCACTCGTCTCACATCCCAAATCACAGAAGAACTCATCAAATCAACGACTTTGCAAACGAAAATCAAATATTTATCAACTAAGATATAAATTGTTTGTTCACCTCAAACATAAGTTTTAGGCATTATATTGATGGCGGTTGGTTCGGTTATTTTGGTTTCAAATATTATAGAACCGAACCGAACCGAACCAAAACCGAAGTTTTTCTAAAATTGAACCCTGGCCTGCCGTGGAGAATCGATTGGTTTGGTCAGTTTAAGCGGTCTACACCGAACTGTGCTCACCCCTCTCGGGTGAGAAGACGTGAAGGATGTGTGAGAGAGGGATTTAGATCGATCCTTTGCATTACCACCATAAAGCAGAGGAGAGACAAGCCGTTTATTAATTTGTTTAATAGATAACCTCCACTGAATAATCATAGACTGTTATTATTATAAGTAAAACCCCTAAAACCAGTGGCTCTCCAAGTCTGTGAGGGAGAGGGCGGTTATGGATTGAAAAGTGTGAAAATTTAGAGGGTAATTAAGTTTAGAAGTATATCAAATTAATGGTGTAAGAGTGAAGAAACCAAAAGGTCTTGACATAAGCAAAGCATGTGCCCATCAGGATAGCATCTTTCAGAATTAGAGACATATGTATTATCCCATGAATATAAGGCCCACGATAATTAATTTGATCGTGAAATATTGTTCATAAAAACTTTAAAAGAAGTTTTTAATAATTCTCTACATATATAAATGTCAGTTGATCTTAATCATGTATTTCATCAAAGTTTTATGGTTTATAGTAATTTTAAAATATACTAATTTAATGACAAAAAAATAAAGTTCATTGTCCTTTTTTGTGTTATTTACCATCGGGTATAGCCCAATAAAAAAATTTCTTCCACCCTTGAGGGTTATTAGTCTCGTGCTATCACCATTGGCATATTTATACCTTGTGGTAGAGTCAGAATTTTATCCTAGTGGTGTCCATTGTATAACTTATTATCATTGTATTTGGAATGTATATTTATAATTTTATCCTCCTCAGTGGTGTCCTGCCTTAATTTTAGGCTTGCGGGTTTGGTAGAGGGGGGAAGTAAAGTAAAGGGAGTGATAAAAACCTAAAGTGCTTTTGATAGAGGGTTTTCAGAAGGGATGTAGAGTAAATGGAAGTTAGATAGAGTAGGGGAAAGCTCAAAATGAACCAAAACTAAGAAGAGAGAAAAATTCGATCCCTCCAAATTGGAGGGATTTAAGAGAAGAGAGAAGATGAACTATATTAATGTGCTTTCTCTCTCCTCCCCTCATACCAAATAAGAAACACAAAATATATACACTATATTACACCTAATTGCACCTCCCTTTACCTTACCTCACCTCTAGTCTTCACACAAGTAAAAGTAATGGGGGATCCACCTTGATCAAAGTGGTGGCACATGACCTACTTTGGTCAAGGCGGACCATGAACCCATTTGTGAATGTACTGTTGGATTTTTTGGTCAAAACTGCTTTTCAAAATGAGTTTTCAAACTATATATATATTAACTACAAGTACTTTTCATAAATGCTTAATAGCCTAGTGGAAAGTTAATGTTTTGTTGTTTCAAAAAGTCCCTTGTTCGAGGCTTGCCAACGGCAAGCCGAGAAGTGTTTTATTTGAATTAATCTCTCATAAGTTCTAGTGGGCCGTGGGCCGTGGCCAATAGCCCGTGGGCCAATGGGCCAGGGATCGGGGCTAATCAGGCTGAGGCGCTAAGTGGCGTTTTGTTAGGCGCACTTTGCACTTCGCACGGAGGCATCGGGGTGAGGTGACGCTGTTTGGCGTCACAATGGTTGCCTCGCAGGCTGCTTCGCAGCATGTAGACGAGCTACGTATACGCACGAGGGTGACCCTAGCGTTTTCGTAGTTTGACAATGTTCGCTCGTTCGACGAGGTTCGTCTGTCATACAAGGTTCGCCTGTTTGGCGATGTTCGTTCGTTCGACGAGGTTCGTCTGTCATACGAGATTCGCTTGTTGACGAGGTTCGTCTGTCATACGAGGTTCGTATGTCATACGAGGTTCGCCTGCTTGACTATGTTCGCTCGTTCGACGAGTTTCGTCTGTCATACGAGGTTCGCCTGTTTGACGACGTTCGTTTGTCAAATGAGGTTTGTCTAATTTGTTGAGACGTGACCCTCGCGTTTCGTAGCAAAGCGTCCATTGATTGCCTCGTATTCAGGAGTTAATGCATGCAGCAGTTACAACAGTATTAAGAGCAATTTAATGCATTGATGTTACAATCTTAATTGCCATTAAGAATTGTAACAGTCACATTAATTGCTTGTAACTCTTGAGCTGGCCTTAGAGGCCTATAAATAGCGTCCTTGGGCAGCTCTTGGTTGCAAGCTGAAAATCCTCTCGCGAGAGTGGAACACGAACGTCGCGTGCTGGAAAACGAACGTCGATCCCGACGTTGTTGCTGTTGTGCTGCTGCTGCAGGAACTTGTGCCCACATGAACTTGTCTTAAACCGATAGGTTTTGAACCATAAGGTTCTGAGATCGAGGAGATCTTTTGCCTTGACCGAAAGGTCTTATAGATCGAGGAGATCTTGACAGTACTGGGTTGGTGCACACCAGAGTACTGTACTGCTGTTCCTGGAAGCAGTTTGGCATTGGGATCCTTGCACCGGAGTAAGCCAAATATTGCTTTAAGCACAGCGTTTCTATAACACACAGCAGTGAACTAAAAAATTAAAAATTACAGCACATCTGTTTTCTCAGTTTAATTCCAGATTTAACCACAATTTTCAACATGTACATTTGGCAAAAACCCTCCCAAGTTTGGGTCTTTTAGAAAACATCCTTAAACTTTCATTGTTTTCCAAAAAAACCTCTAAAAGTTTGAATCTTGATAAAAATATTTTTTAAGCATAATTTTACCCATCCATGTGAAAACTGTGGGGCTTTTTTGCCTGAAAGTTGTTGAGCATTGAAGGGGTCTCCTAAGAGCTCCAAAACTTATGGGGCAACAATCTGAAAATTAAGGGGATCATTGGAGGAACACCCAAACTTAAGAGCAATTTGGTAAAAATTTTCACTGAAAAACTTTTTGATGATGAACTTTGTCGTGGAGCCCACAAGACATGTATTGAGAACGATACACTTGATATGTATTGAGAACGATATATTTGGAGCCCGTGATTTAGTAACATATATAGAGAACTAAGTATTTGATTATATTGTTAATGATGTGATCATGTACTTTTGTTTCAAAGTATGAAAACATGTTGTAGACAATTGTAATATTTTTAATTGTTAACCATGTAGTGGCACCACCTTTTAGAATTCTTGACTCTGCTGCTGAGCCAAAGTGAATAAAATTATCCGTATAGGGTAGAAAAATTCAGTGGTGTCATGTGATGTCCCTTGACGCTTTGTAGCTATCCGCCACTGTTTGCAGCCACAAAATATTTTGAGCTCTGATCATGTGAAATTACCTCATTAAAAACATTTAATAAATTATAAAAAGTTAATTAGTAAAAAAAAAGACTAATTCTCTGGTCAGCCAGAACAACATACATGAATATATACCCGAGTCTCTGAATTAATTTTGCTAGCAGTGCGTGGAATTATTAGTAGCTCCACATAAACGTGCACATATCCAAAGATCCAGAAAGCAATTGTTATATATAAGAGACCCAAAAATATGATGAAATGCAATTAATTCCCCAGTGAAGTCCGTATAAACGAAACTTTGTTTTCGCCTGCATTTCATCGATCACGGAAATTAAACCGGCCAAGTAGTGAACTGCGCGCCGCAACTCAACCAGTAACGAACGTCACAAAACGGCCCACATGCATCAATCGTCACTTTAACCCTAACCCCATCCTCAAACTTTCAAATCTTCCCTCCAACATAAACCACCGAAAAAATCCCATAAATTCCTCAAAACTGTCCTCTCCATTTCCCCTATAAATACCCTAAAATTAACCCTAACTTCTTGTCTCAACCAAGCCCAAATTAAGAAACCCTGGCTAGCTAGCTCAGAATTAATGGCCAACTTGGGCTCGACCCTAATCACCTTGTTGTGTTTACTGGCAATACTTTGCGCACATATTGCGCCTTGTGAATCCACTAGGAAAGGGAAATTACACCCACACCGGCATGCACGCGCACAGCACGTACGTAAGGGAAAGTTTGTTAAGACCAAGGGCACAAGGTTTTTGCTCCACGGTTCCCCTTTCCTCTTCAATGGCTTTAATGCTTACTGGATGATGAACGTGGCGGTGGAGCCCGCTGAGAGGTATAAGGTCACCGAGGTTTTTCAGCAGGCGGCCCTGGCAGGGATGAACGTCTGCCGGACGTGGGCTTTCAATGATGGTTGCGATAAGGCGCTGCAGACGTCTCCCGGTGTTTATGATGAACAAGTCTTTCAGGTTTGGAATTAGCTATATATGATGTATTTGATAAACTGTGATGGTACCAATTTTAAGATCGAGCTTAATCAAGATTTTGTAATTTGTATTAATTAGGCACTTGATTTTGTTGTCTCTGAGGCACGCAAATGCGGAGTTCGCTTGATTTTGAGCTTGGTTAACAACTACAAGGACTACGGAGGCAGACCTCAATATGTTCAATGGGCACGCAATGCAGGAGTATCCGTCAACGGGGATGATGATTTTTATACTAATGGCGTCATTAAGGGATATTATAAGAACCATATAAAGGTGATTAACATAATTTTCAAGTTTAATTATAAAGAGCCGGAGATCACATAGTAGATCGATTTAACATTTTTCCTCTCAAATTATATATAATGTTCTAAAGTTTTTGTTTTTGGTGCGCGCAGACCGTTTTGAATAGAGTCAACACCTTCACCAATCTAGCATACAAGGATGATAACATGATCATGGCATGGGAGCTCATGAATGAGCCCCGTTGTGAAAATGACTACTCTGGGAGAACAGTGAACGTGAGTTTATATATGCAACAATTAATTATAATGATCATCGCCGTACTAATTAATCAGTAGTTAAGTTAATTAGAAATTAATTAGTTACCTGGATATTGGGACGATCTTGAGAAACCACCAAAATTCTATTGCGGGCTCCTACATATAATTTTATATTAAATTTGTTAAATAAATAAGAGCTACGATTATTACGCAAGTCATATAACGTGCATGCATGATTACAATCCTTAGACAAGAAACACTTGCTGGAAATAGGCATGGAAGGGTTTTATGGAGATTCAACGCCGGACAAAAAGCGGTACAACCCTGGTTATGAAGTTGGAACTGATTTCATCACCAACAACCTCATCAAAGAAATTGACTTTGCCACAATCCATGCTTACCCTGATCAGTGGTAAAGTCTACTTATTTTTTTCACCTTAACAAGTTAAAATTAAAGGATTAAGGAGAGTTAACCCTACTTAATTACTCTGCTTAAAAAAAATCATATATACGTCGAGTAGGCGATCCGGTGTATTTTGTGAAACATCAAATTTACAAAAGGGTTAAGATAATCCTTCTGAACTGCTAATCAGTACTTCAATCATTCTTTATTGTAAAATGATTAACTAGTATTTTGTGAGACTTCATGTACGTCTTTTGGTCACGGCATGCCTTGAACTTATTTTTTCGCAGGCTATCAGGCCAGAGCGACGACGCGCACTCTGAATTTGTACGGCAGTGGATGTGGAGCGGATGTGGAGCCACTGGAACGACACCAAGAGGATCCTCAAGAAGCCCTTAGCGTTCACGGAGTTCGGGAAATCGAAGAAGGAACCCGGATACAGCGAGACAAGCCGTGATGCATTCTTCGGCATGGTGTACAGCAACATCTACAGGTACGCCAGGACCGGGGGGTCCATGGGGGGAGGCCTGGTGTGGCAACTCATGGCCAGAGACATGGAGTCGTACTGTGATGGATATGAGATTGTGCTTTCGCAGGAGGCGGCGACGAGCGATGTTATCAGCCGACAGTCGCGTGCTATGACTACATTGGCAGCCAAGATGCTGTGACCGTGCACGAGCGTGATCAAGCATTTCTCCTCCCTAGCTATTATGAAGATCGATTTGCTTCGTTAATTTCGTGGGTTGTGTTTGTATATATATATTGGATTAGGTTGGTTATAGCCTTGTTTAATAAGGAGTGATGCGAGGTGTGTTTGTAGATTTGCGTGAGGGTTTGTGATGAATAGAAAGGAAGTTGGTTAGCATGCATTCCACCCTACGACTCCATATATATATAGGATGGTGCGTAGATTTTATGTCAAATTGCAGGAAATCCTCCTTGAAAAACCTTTTAATTGTTATATATATTAAGTATATATTAAGTTTGACATGAAATTTACAAGTTGGCCCAGTAAAAAAAATAAATCACGAGTGCGAAAAGTGATTAATTTTTTCTCAGAATTCAAAAAAGGGTTAAATTTTCTCAAAATTCAAAAGATGGATATGGAAAAAGGCGTGGACGGCAGGATTCGAACCTGCGCGGGCAAAGCCCACATGATTTCTAGTCATGCCCGATAACCACTCCGGCACGTCCACAGGAGTGGTAGACTGCTATCGCAAGACAATTAATATTTAATATATATTACTCTTAGCTATACAGCCAAACTGGGTAAATATGAGGGGCTATTTGGTTCACCTATTTTATGGGTAAATATAAGGGGCTGTTTGATTCACCTATCTCATGGAAAAGTTTTGAGAAAACACCTAGCGTTATCGTGTAGATTTCTATAAACTGTGTTTGCTTCCAAAAAATTTTATAGAAATATTTTCTATAAAGTAAGGAAAAGTGTACTATTTTATAGAAATCAACTTCCTTTCTAAATGGGCGGAAATTATAATAAAATCTGATGCATATATTAAAAAAATTTATTAAGTACACCAGTATCATTCCTATTTAATTTTTCACGGGCATTGTTAGTAAGCTATTTTCTATAAAGTGATATCCAACCAAACAAAAGAAAAAGAAAACAACATATTTTCTATAAAGTTAAAAACTTTTTCATACTTTGAACCAAACAAAAAAAATAGCAAAAAAACAAGAAATACAGTACTCTTTGAGATCTATAAATTTTTCCTACAAATTTTATAGAAATACAAAGAAATCAAATTTCGAGTAACTTTCTTTTTCCTCTTTTTTATATAAATTGAACCAAACAACTTACCGCTGGCGTCAAACGTCTGACCAAGCCGCCATATAGCAGTTGAACAAATCCCAGCTAAACATCGGTGACTCTCTCTCCTCTCCTCTCTCTCTCTCTCTCAGCTCGCATTCGATGGCCGAAGAATCCCAAGGTAAACCCTCTCCCGATCCCATTTCCGATCTCTACGTTCTCATAAAAAAAATCCCCCAAATTTTCAAAAAAGCTGCTAACTTTAACCAACCCATTTCAGATAAAGCCGATGAGCCCACCGAACCCCGCGATTTGGAATCTTTGATCGAGATCAAGGTCCTGTTCTTCGCCAGGGCTCGAGATCTCACTGGCTCAAAGGAAATCCCCCTCAAACTGCCCGCTGGTAGCACCGCAGGGGATTGCATGAGTAAGCTTTTGACCCAATTCCCCCAGTTGGGAGAGATTTATAATTCTGTGGTTTTGGCTTTGAACGAGGAGTATGCGCCTGAGACTGCAGTTTTGAAGAATAAGGATGAGCTGGCTATCATTCCTCCGATCAGCGGCGGATGAGGAGGTGGAAGGTATACGAAAAAGGCGATACTCTCGTAATTTTTTAAGTTCATATTGCTTGGAAAAACCTGTGCTACATGAATTTTTGATCGTGTACAACTTCCAATAAGGGAATATATCTGGGGTGGATGTTTGGTCTTGTTGCATGTTATGTTGTCATGCGATGTGAGATGTATGTTTGGTTGTATCCTTCGGGTATTTGGAAAGCCAATAGCCGTTGCCGCAAATTTCATGTGTGCTATTATGTTATGCAGGCTTCCTCGGTAGGGTTTAATATCGTGTCGATCCATTTCTTGTGGCGCATTTGGTTACGGGTTGAAATTTGAATACCAATTTTGTATTATAAAGATTTGATTGTAATCGATGCCGACACTTGGTGCATATCGTGCACATATCATAACCTTGCTTCCTCATTTGTATGCACGTAGGTTGTCAGAATGCGCATATGTTGTTGTATTTTCAACCTCTCATCATTATGCATCTATTGGCCCCTTATTTTACATGTTACGCGTCACGTATCCTTTTATCTATAATTAATAGAGTTGTGAACGGGAGATGATAGACAACAAGAATCGCTATTTCTTCATAAGCTCTTTGTCTTATTTTTCTCATCATGCACTCCTAGGCTATGGATGACCTTGAGGGTTACTAGCCTACTAGGACAAGCTCTTGGAGAACTTCCAATTTGCTGCTTCAAAAGTCTACAGGAAGTGCTCCAAGGCAGAGAGTGGTCTGAATTTCTATATTTTGGGCAGGATCCATATCTACAAAGTTTAGATGCAAAGTAACTTACATACGAGCGCCTGCGTTACTGCTCAGGTTTTATATTTATACAGGTACTGACTTTTAATTTTGGACGTGTATACAGGTATACATATTTGATTTCATTGTAGATAATGGGGGAAATGTTGGACCGGAGTGACACTTATTGATCTATCTAGACTGGTATATATGGATCTTTCAAACTTAAAGTGTCGGTTTTCTTCATGTGTATGTCTAAACCATGACACGATTGCTTATAGAATTATCTACGGACTAAGTTTTCTTTCTCATTTCTCAATTATCATTTGGGAGTTGCAAACGTTGATGTGAGGTCCAAAGCAGAAATGAATGGAAGACCAATTCCTAGTATGGAGCTCTGTAAACTTTAAGTTGTGCTCATCAGCTGACTCTATTTTAGCTGGAAATTCTAGATGTCTACAAAATTGTATCTAATGTGAAAAGACCTGAATTCTTACGAGCATCATCTGAGATTATCAAGTATCCAGTTGTAATTTTTTATATTTAATAAAGAAAAGTTAGCATGTATTGTCAGTGGATGTTTGTGCTTGTAGCTTCATTCAACCATGTCACGATGTGAAGAAACGTGTTACTACTATTTGTGTTGATTTAATTTGGTTGAAGAAGTGATGTTGATTGATTGGAGAGCTAAATGAAAGAGTTAACCACATAGGAAAATTATGAAGTTCATTTTTAGACAAGTGATTGTTCAAGTTAGGCGGTGAAACATCAATTGGGGATGGCCAAGATTGCTATATCAACTATCAGTGGATATTAATATCTTAGATTAGCTTGAGATACATTTTTGTTCAGCTAGTATAAATTTGTAACCCATGAATTAGATGTATTCTCAAGGATCAGAGTAAGTTTATTACGGTGATTCGCATGGATGATATCCTGCTAGCGAGTATCTGACTTGGTTCTGCTTCACCAGCCATTTTACTCTGGAATTTTACTATGATGAGAGCTAACAGTTCACACTTTTTTACAGATTTCTGCGGCAGTTGGTCTATGACAAGTTCTCGATGAGCAAGAACACTTCTCATGTTGGAAATATGGTTTCCAGTCATCAAGAAGAGTGTGATTGAGAGCATACAATGTTGACGAGAATATTAGTCTAGTGCTTGTTCTTTAACTAAATCTCTCCCAGTAAACATTTTCGGGCATCATTTGAATGATGTGCTTCTGTAATGATTTTTGATAGCACAAGAATGGTATCATGCTTAATTATTTCCCTTCTGTGGGTAAGGAGATGCTGTCATATTGGCAGCAAATACGACAAAGTTCGATGATGTGATTAAAATCTTACTGGTAGTGAAACATATGTACTAAATGATACAGGGAGAAGGCGTCAAGCAACCAAGTTATCTCTTTTGTAATGTTTCTCGATATATGCTACAATGTGAGTGAAAACTGTTTCAAACACCGTATTTCTCACTGATTCTTCACAATTAGATCGAAATGATTTATTACCTGCATTAAACTTATTTCACATTAATCATGTCTACTTCTCATTTCAGTTGAGATCGAGGTCCAATTGTCACCAGAGAGATGCAAATTGCACAAACTGTAGCTTCATCGTATCAGTTGTAATTGCTTGTTAAAAAAGCTTCAGTGTTCACAACATGGAATTGCGAGCAGTGAATTCTGATCACAGTTGAGATCGCGCTGATGGCAATTGATGATACAAACTCTCAACAAGGATTAATCCCTCACAATCTTGTTTCATTCTTAATATCTACACAGTCCAGAACAATGAACGGCTGCTTCTGTAGGAACTTCTCAGTATGAGCTCACCATGGCAATGCCGATATCTCTCGGATATCAGGGCCAAAATAAAATGTTCCACAGTTTTAGTATTGCAGCTTTGAAGTTTTCTAAAAACAATAACACTTATAGGATAAGGAGACTAGTTATTAAAATATACACAATTTTCTGGTAACTGAAAAGTTCAAACCGGTAAAATTTTCTCCACAATTGATGAGTTCAAAAGCAAAGAGTCGCAAGGAACACAACATATATTTAAGAGACTATACACACAGAGATGTAGCTATATATGATACATATCAAGCACCATAATCAATCGCAACAGCACATCAGACGTCTAAAACGGGTAATAATCACAACAATTACAAGTTTATACAACCCAAACACTTCGTAATGTAAGGATAACTACTCCCTTTCGTCAAGAAAGAAGAGCATACAGAGAAGAGAGTGATGGGCTCTTCTCTAGCCACAAAAGCAACAATCTTCCATTATACTTTCAACTCATCTCAAGGATGCCATGGGCCAGGAAGCAAGGCTGCTTGTTGGAAGAGACGGTCTTATTAACGGAGCACGCTTCATGACGGGAGAATGCTTCATTGAAACGTGCAGCAGCGAGCCTATGAACTGAGATGCCCTCTGCAAAATTTGGTATATGGGGTGTATAAGCTCTAAATATATTGAGAGAGAGAGAGAGAGAGAGAGAGAGGGGGGGGGGGGGGGGGGAGCAGGGGCCAAGTGGGATAATTGTTCCAATGGAACAATTTTATCCCTTTGAGATGTTTTGAGTGGGGTTTAAGTGGGACAAGTTGGGATAGTGGGGGCAGTTTGGCGCTTTAATTTGACAATTCATGTGGGATAATTGATGATGTGACACATTGTTAAAATATTATATTTATTTATTAATTAAATCAAAAATAATTTATCCAATTGGGTTAGTATATTATTTAATATGTTATTATAATATAATACATTATTTTACTTTATACTGAAATATAATACCTTATTACAATTACTAATTAACTATAACTATGTTTAATGTTATTAATTAATATATTATATTAGATCACGTTGGCAACGCACACCCCTAATCACTTCGCATTAAATACCGAAGTGACCTCTCCTTCACTCATCGGACGACACCTGTAAAGTAGAGGCTGACGTGATCGTCATCCCATACTCGGCTGAAGTTACCATTATACTCTTATACCATCGCTATAAGTAGAGGTACTATTTTTAACAAAAGGGTAAGTTCTTTATTACTACCCACTGTGCTTAAGAACTATGGCATTTCATTTTACTTCCCCACTCACACAACTCACTGACTTTGACCGTCGGAGGAATAACCGGGGAACTCAACCCCGCCCTCTTACGATTTGCTACTTGTGCAAGGAAAAACAGCTTATTTCAGAACCAGACATTCAGAGGGTTAAAAGACATCCGTCAACTTAATCAATTCATTCATTTGACTGTTTGATATCATACATCAACACTAACTAATAAAATAAATATTAAATAATATAAAGTAATATTATAATAATATAATACTAATATTATAATATATGAAATATTATTAACTAATATATAATAATGATATATAATAATGTTATATTTGATAATATATATAATATTTTATTATCTTACGTTATAGCAGAATTTTATAATATAATATAAGTAAGATATATTATATATTATAATAGAATTAGCATACATTAAATATTTAATAAATTAATGTTTCAAAATTATCCCACTTTGCCCATGATTGTCCTAAAAATTAAGAATGTGGTAATTTTTGGAGGTAGGGACAAAAAAATTGTATAGAAGTGGGATAATTTTGGGAAAAGTGTGGGTAATTGTCCAAATCTTATTGTCACAATGAATAACACCTTAAAGTGAAATCACTATTTCATTGTCCCAGTGAATAACACTACAAAATAAAGTCCCAAAATTTATCCCACCAACCCCAAAATTATAACAAACAATAACCCCCGAAGATAAACAAACATAGCTACCAAAATGTTAATCTAACGTCATAAAATCTCTGCTTACCTGGAATAGTAGGTGTCCACCATATTAGCTGTTTATAACTATTTTCCACTAATTGAGAACATACAAGCAGCCATGTGATAAATTTAGAGGACATGACAATATTAAATAAATAATTCCAAATATGATGAATACATGTTTCTGTTGTGCACCAACAGAGCTGGTGAAATCGAAACAGATGTTACTTTTATAACATAAACTAATTGCACTAGCAATGCCAAAGAGATTGATATGACATGGTTAGAACTTGAATGTCATCTTATTAATAAAGGTAAGGTTTTTAGGATATAAGTTGCTAGCAAATATCTTAGCTAGATATTTGTCCCCAGCACATAAGTGGATCCAATTAATCCCTCATAATGCGATACCCACTCATAGAAGGCCATCTGTTATGTAGATGGTATTGGGATGTTGTAAGAACTTTCTTCAACTAAATGCCGCCTAGAAACCAACTTTGAGCTAGTTTGATAAATACGTTAAGTGTGAGATAACATGGAAGTCATAAAATTTCCTCACCTTCAATAAGTCAAAAAATTTCTTCACCTTCAAGAAGTCATAAAATTTCTTCACCTTCAAGTCAAGCAACTTGCATGGGTTTCACCATATTAATGATAATTGTCAAGACTGGGCCAAGTCTGATAATTTCAGGCCGAGAATCAACACTTTAAACAGCATGCTTGACAAGCCAGGCACAACCAAAAATCTATTTGAAATTGTCAGAATCTTATTTATTTACTTTTCTTTAAAACAATGTGCACCTTTGATGCCCCTCCCTACAAATACAAGGAAAGAAAAGGGGAACCCCCACCCATAGGCTTTCGCTAGAAAACTACCTGTACACCACAAGGAGTGTAGTGTAGCAAAGCAAAGTGGCACTAAAAAGTTCAAAGATGTTGCTTTCTTCTTTATAAGAGAGTATTATCCTCCCTTCCTCCCTCAGAGCACTCTCTCAATGAACAAGTAGATTTTTAACCCTTACACAAAACTGCTCCCAGTATCCAGTCTCCAATTGTGCATATGAAATATTTGTAATCTTAAATTGGGCGAAGAGGCAAATCCAAAGTTAAAAAAATTTGAGAAGCAAATGAATGCCATAACAAATAATTAATGGCACCATGGTTGTGAGATATCACAATGGAGGCTCATACTAGGTGCCAGATGGCAAATGAAGTCATGATATGTAGTAATCAGGAACATATCAGTGATATGTAGTAAATATCGGTGTCGTCGGTGTGTCAAATCGGATGATGTTCATGCATAATATAAAATTCTAATATGTGAGCTAAACATATTTAATGATTTCTAAACGTGAGAAATTGCAACATAATATATCTTTAGAATAACTAACTGATTGTAAAAACTTTCTTCTCGATTGCATCATAAAACTTTCAAAGTGCATAACATTAAAAGAGACGTAGGAAAAGATTAGAGAGAGGTAGAGAGATATAGAAAGGGGTGGAGTAAGAGAGAAGGCGAAGAGAGAGGAGAAGGGGGAAGCATTAAAAGAGACGTAGGAAAAGATTAGAGAGAGGTAGAGAGATATAGAAAGGGGTGGAGTAAGAGAGAAGGCGAAGAGAGAGGAGAAGGGGGAAG